TGAAAGACTTCCCTCCTCCAGTCTGTAAATTAAAAACAAAGTTTAGAGCAACCAAAATAAAATGAATGACTATATTAATCCTTATTAATATAATTTCTTAAATACTGACCTTAAGGTTGTTTTGTCTAATGAAAGCACTACGCTTCCTAGCAGACTTCTTTAAATTCTCCCACTTGAGTCGAATTTGCTCAGGACGCCGCAAATCTCCCGTAACAGCACTGAACTCCTGTGCAATAGACTTCCATGCTTCCTCTTTTAGTTTGTTATTGGTTGCGTTCGTCGCTTTGGTAGTTATAACTGGATATTTCATTATAATGTCAAGAAGAAGAATTATGCTGTCCTTTACAAGCGGTTTAGCTTTAATCTGAAAGTAAATTATAATAAATTAAGGCGCGAATAGGTGGCACGACCCTTTTGTTTATGTTCCAGGTATTTATAGGGTTTTAAACAAAATATAATCAATGGGTACGCAGTCAATACTTACATTTTGTTGCTCAGCCATTTTATAAGAAAATTACACACTAGGTAATTTATAAATACAAATTAGATTTCCAAACAAATCACAAGTCGATATTCGAAACACAAAACAGTAAACAGTTGCGAGCGAGCGCGAGAGTTTGACAGCGCGATAGCTTCGCGTCATTTGCTGGCAAATGTCAAAAATGCGTTTTATTGCATCATGTTAGAAAGCATTTCATCATTATTTTATTTTAAAAGTCCACCATTTTCGTATAAATAAAAAAAGCAGGTTTTTTAAAAGTACAAATTTACTGAAGCTTGTATCATATAAGCAAAAATAATATTTTTTATTTTACACTTCACAACTTTTGACTTACAATAATTACTGTGTGATATAAAACGGTGTTAATAGTTGAATAACTTTATCTGGAGTGACTCTATACACAACTAAGACGTATATTTTATTCTATATGGCCAGTGGTGGGGGGTTATCCCTTAGTCGATAAATTATACTTGCGCGTGCAAGTGCCACAGGATGTATCGATTGATTTAATTACAATTTATATGTATAGGGCTTTGTTCATAACAATGTAAGAGTGCTTAGATCTTTGTTAGTAACAATATAACGATTGTTTAGGTGGTAATTTAAAAGTATAGATCTTTGTTAACAACAATGTAAGGATTAATTAGATGAGAATTTACAATAAGGCCTTGTTTATAACAGTTCGTAGCTAGTTGAATGATTAGGTGAAGGAGTTGGTACGTAACTAGTAGAATGATTAGATGAAGCTGAAGGAGATGGTAAAGAGCTAGATCGACCTTGAAAGCCAGACGTGTAGTATCCCTGATGAACATAAGAGAACTGACCAGTATCTGCTTGAAACAAAATATCCATAATTGCTTTTTTTACATGAGGTACAATTTGTATGTCATACTTTCGCAGTTCACTTGCCACATGGTTGCCAAACGTATCAAAATGATCGGTTTTCGCAGTATTTTGCAATAATCTGTACGCATCTTGTAACATGACATCAGTGTCATCATCATTTAGGCGTCTTTTCCTACTCGATGTCAATGTATTCCTTACTCGTGGTGTGGTTCTGCTATTCGGTGATTCTGATACATTTGTTCCACTTTGACAGGTAGAAGGTGTATCTATTTCATTTTGAGTCGCTGTATTTATGTTTGAAGAATATTCATCATTTTCTGCAGTATTCATTTCAGAAACATTTGGTGTTATCTGAAACAATATTATTAATTCATAACATAATTTAAACTGAATAGAATTAAATTAATAACGAGAACCAAAATGGTCACTTGTATCAAAGTGCCTCAAGGTCAATTGTAAGACACTCAAATAAAGCACAGTGAATGCGTTTCAATCACTTTTATTGCTTATAAATGACAATCAAGTACTTACGTATTACTTAAGATTAATATGGCACCATTTAAGGAACATTAAACTGTCAAACACCAAGCGGTCACCGGTGACCGCAACCTATTGTTCTTTAATTGTGTCTATAAATACGGTACTCGACGAGTTAATTTGTAATCAGTCTTTATTTATTTATTTATTCAAATAGGTATACCAACAGCTTCTGTATACATAGCATTAAGTGATTTGAAAGTAACATTAAGTATTTCGGCTTATACAGTCGCCAATTATAGGTTAACCAACATGCAATTACTTAAGTGATAAAAAAAACTATAAATACAAAAATGAACGAGAACAATAGAGTTTTAGTTACTAAAAAAGAAACTACTACTAACGAAATAAACATTCTTTATAACAGTCTTTTTAATCAGTCTATGACATTTTGATTTTTAAACAAGTACAACTTCTAATTAAACTAATTAAATGATATTTTAAACAAAACATAATAACGACAGTATATTTTAATCAGATTCACTGCAATTATGACAGATGTAATATCTATTACCGTCGGTACAATCAATGTGTGACCAAAGACGACAGGTCCCTTGGCATTGTACCCATTTTTCACCTGATCTACTATCTGAGAAGGCTTCTAGGCAAACCAGGCAATAATACTCTTCTTCTTCTGATGATGCAGGTGGTGTGTTAGCTTTCTTTCTTGCTTTTCCCTTTCCTTTACCTTTGTGTTTCATACCAGTCGATGATTCTAATACTTTTTTCTTCACTTGTTTATCTTTCAATCTTTTCTGTCGCTCTTCATACTCCTTTCTAACAGCTTCCTTTTCAGGGGTGTCTGTATAAATAGCAGATTTTTTAGTTTTTCGACCCCTATTTGCAGTTTTCCTAGGGGCAGCTTTTGGGTAGGGCCGTATTGCCTCTGGTGAAAATATTGTTTGACGGCTCGTAGACGGCTTAGGCGATGGTTGCTGATCAGGTATTTGATGGCTCGTAGACGGCTTAGGCGATGGTTGCTGATCAGGTATTTGACGGCTCGTAGACGGCTTAGGCGATGGTTGCTGATCAGGTATTTGACGGCTCGTAGACGGCTTAGGCGATGGTTGCTGATCAGGTATTTGTCTTGGTGGTGTAGTAGTCGCTAGGCCGTCAATGTTTTCAGGAATATGAATTTCAGCGTTTTGTATTGAAGCTACTAGGCTGGCTGAAGCCTCGTTCAACAACGATGGTGATAGCGGTGGTGTTTCATCGTTAGGAGCCGATACAGGAATGTTCTCATCCATAATCACTTTTTCTATATTGTTTGGGTTTGGCCTGTCTGTCACAAATGAAGGCGAAAAGTCAATATCTTGAAATATGTCACGGTTGAAAGGGTATATTCCTGTCTTTCGAAAGCCAGCCTGAATATTTGATTGGGTCAGAGCAAGTGGCATTGCGGTTGTCGTAATACCGGGTATGTCGTAAATGGTCATAGTTCTTCCTGGATGATTTCGCATCCAGGCGTCACAGGCTGTATTGAAGGCTTTTTTCAAAGGTCCGTACACCGATCGATCCAGGGGCTGGAGTTTGTGTGAGCAGTGGGGTGGAAGCAATAATAGAACTATTCCATTTTCTTTACAGAAATCTAGAGAATTTATGTGTATATGGGATGAGTGGTTGTCCAAAAGTAGCAAAACTTTGTGTGAAGGAGACGCATTTGTATGTTTTTTGAAATGTTTTAAGAAAATTAAGAACGTGTCATCTTGCATCCAGCCCGATGGATTGCCTGTTCCAATGGAACCCACAGGTCCATCCCTGATGGAATGTTCTTGATATCGTATGCGAGGGAATACGAACATGGGGGGAATAGCATTGCCCAACGCGTTTGCCGCAAAGGCCAATGTGACCAATGTGCCTCGCTCAGCTGAGGTAATGGCTCCTACTTGCCTTGTGCCACGTCTAGCCACGACCCTGTCGGGTTTTTGCACGGTGGTCACGCCGGTTTCATCGACATTATATATGTCTTGAGGTTCGAAATGATCACGGTCCATACCAATTTGTAGATTATTATAAAATGTATCAACATTAGTCCTGTTGAAACTGGTCGCTCTGGACAAGCTTGTAGCTTGAGCTGCGCGCACAGCTGATAGCTCAGGGTTCCTCTTCATGAAGGATCGAAACCACTCCTCCCCAGCCCTTTCGTTTTCAACCCAAGTAGGAGGAATCTGCAAGTTGTATTTTATAGCAAGTTCATACGCCAACTTTCTTACCTCTTTTGTAGAAAGTCCGAAGTATATATCTGCAGAACGAGTCAGGTATTTGGCAAGCTGTCGTTCTTGGTAAGTGTTACAATTGTACCCACCCTTTCCTTTTGCCAATAAAACGATCTCAGTATCAATTCAAATTAACCTACAAAAAAAGAATATCCTGTATTTGAAACTCTAAAGTCTAATAATCATAAATAAGAACGAGCAAAACTTAGAACACTATAATAACAATAAAATTGAGGAAAGAAATCGATCAAAAATACTTACTTTTGCTTGACAAAACATAATAGGCCACTCTGTACACGTACACAGCGCGCGGACTGCGACGCAACACTGGTGATCATGTCCGAACACGTAAGCCGCGTGCCTTTCCCCTTGTACCCCTCCCCGCACGGTGAATATTTCTGCCAATATTTGAATTGTTACAACCGTACCCCGTTACAACCGTACCCAGTCTACCCTATGATAAAAAACTGATATGAGGTCAACACATGCAAAACTTATTTGAGGAGTGACTTTTCAAAATGGCTTATTTCTGTATGGTCATTTTTTTCAGGACCAAGAAAAATACGAAAGCTTTTCATATACGACTATTTTTAGTAACAAACTTCTATGTACATAATCTAGGTACGTTAATAGATCGTTTCACAGTGTATATATTTTTTTTAATACTCTAAATTATGAGTTATGTATTATCATATGATTTAAGGAAATAAGCCATTTAGTCGCAAACTCCAAGAAATAAGATGTTTTGTTTCAGCACTCCTAAGAAATAAGCCATTTTGTTTTGGCACTCCTAAGAAATAAGCCATTTTGTTTTGGCACTCCTAGAAATAAGCCATTTTGAAAAGGATGGGCTAGCAAAAAAAAATTGTTTTCTAAAAACTTTTATTAAAATCTGAAAATCACACACGGACTTCTCCTACATCCTCTTCATTGCAGACACAATCATATTCATGTTCCTCAGCTGGTTCCTCCGTCACATGTAACAAAATAGTTGTGTACCATTGAAGTTCAGGCAATGCAGTCCATTCTTCCCCAAATTGTTTTTCAAGTAAATTTATTACATCTTTTTTCTTTTTTTCTGAAACTGGCTGCGGAATAGATTCTGCAACATCAATAGTTAGTGGAATACGTTTACCCCGTTTCAATAATGTCTGCCAAGGATCATTTCCATCAAATCTATAATATTGGGAAGCTTTTATTTCACAACCGATAGTCATCTGTCTTTTAACAGTTTTTTTTATCCAGACTCTTTTTATTTTTTGTAATCCCTCCACATTTTTAAAATTTTCCTTTAAATCCTTTATTTCAAGCAGTTGCCAATCATTTCCTAATAACCTTACATTGCCATGGTTTTTGAAGATATCATGGTAACCATCTTTGGTGGTGATCACTGGTATTTTTCTTAATTCCTTTTCCAGTCGTCCAAAAACGCGATCGGCGGGCAAAAAACTGTGACCCCGCACTGGAAAAAATATATGTATTTCCTTCACTTGAGCAGGTGATTTGGAGTAAAGCCATTGCATTAGTGAATGTATGATATGATTATTTTTATTTTGGCCTCCACAGCCATCACAAAATAAACGTATAGTATCAACATTATTGTCAATGTTCATGGAGGATAGATAATCATATACAGCTGATCCTATTTCTGTTGGCTCGCGCTTGGCAATGGTTTCATCCCAAGTATAAAACCAAGGATCTTTTGAATTTAAAGGTACTACACAAAAATTATAAAGACTTATTTGCCTAGAATAAAAGGCATCTTGAATAGGCGTTTTTGGAAGTGCTTGGACTTGTTGAAGATCAAAACAAAGTGAAATGGAGTTTGGAGGATTACCTTTCATGTGGGTATAAAATGCCTTGGCCCTTATCTTATGTACCCGAAGTTCTACCATTAATTTTTGCTTTTTTTCACTGTTTCTTTCATTTTTGATTCTATTTCCCCACAGCACACACACATTGCAAGCATCAGAGGATGGCGCAGAAAATCCTACATTAAACTCTTCATAAAATATTTTATAAAACATGGTTTTTTTTACTTGCAAGTTTGAGGCAACAGAAGAATTATACAACTCCATTAGTTTCTTACAGTTTAAATCACTAGACAGATATATTCTTTTTGATTTTTGTCTGTTGTGGTGGCTTTCTCTTGCTGGTAGACATTTTATGAAATTCCTTAGTGATTCCTTTTTATCAATAGATTTGTATGACTTACGGTCCCCACCACGCTTTTCTTTAGGAATGTTTCCTCTGACTGTAAAGTCTGATTTTTAATTCGAGTCAGTAAAATGACAGGGGCAACTGTCACTTTCACAAAAAAGGGTGACCCACTACAATAGTGATGTTCCACAATCGACCGACTTAGAAGTTTAGTCATGATTTATTTTATTAGGTATCAGAGCGTTGTTTTTATTGTAAATATTTAAAGCATAACGTATTAAATAATACAATTTTAGAAATATGAACCTTCCCAGCATATTAAAACTTCTCACTACAACATTATTACAAAAGATGGGGAATTCAGAGGAATCAATAATGGAAAGTAAGAATAATACAAGTAATTTTATAGCTTTTAATTAATAACGGTTGCGATTCCGAATCCGATTCTGAATCAGTATATTCAGAATCGGAATCGGAATCAGTTACATTTATTATAAATAAATCCACACATTCGTCTATAATGTGGTCGAGTTGGCACATTTTGTCTTGGACTTTTATTGCATGGTTGATGCACTGTCGCCAATTTTCAGGTGTCACTTCTTTCACACCTTCTTCAAACAACTTTTTTACGTCTTTTATTTTAAAAGTTTTATTGTTCCTGGCGACATACCCCTTTGTTTGAGCCCAAACTAACTCTATTGGGTTGAGCTCACAGTGATAAGGGGGCAGCCGCAGGATTGTGACACCATATTCAGCGGCCAACTCTTCCACAGCATAGCGTTCGTAATTCGATTTGTGGGATTTTACAATCTCTATTAATTCAGCTTTTATCATCCTAGGTTGAAATTGAATATTTTTTTCATTCAACCATTGAATTATATCATCTTTCCGCCAGTTTGAAGTGGGGATACGCTCGACTTTTCTAGAATGATACGGTGCGTTATCTAGTACCAGCACCGCATTTGGCCTTAAATTTGGCAAAATAGTTTTAAGCCAGTCCTCGAAACACTTTGAGTTCATTTCTTCATGATAGTCACCGGTGTTTTTCCTTGGATTCAAAAATTAATAACCCGTCTTCTAAAAATCCTTCATCACTGCCTATGTGGGAAATTATTAGGCGTCGACCTTTGCCGGTCGGGCCTTTTAGGTCTGTAGTTAAACCTTTTGAAAAGGCTTGTTTGGAAGATTCTATCGTTGTATCCACCCAAACTTTACCAGTTGTATGACCTGTTAATATACAAAATTCATATAAATAATACAATACTGACATAAATACATTTTGAAACTGAAAAACTATGCACTTAATATAGTTGTAAATAAAAATATACAATTACCTTCATTAATCCACGTCTCGTCTTGATAATAAATTACTTTTTCTTGTCTCCGATATTCTTTGATTGTCGTCAAGTACCGTGCACGCCACAGAATTAAATCTTGACGATCCATCAAGCAGCTGCGTCGGTTGCGTCTCGCATATTTAAAATTTAAATGTTTTAAAACTGCTCGCATGGTACTCTTTGACATATTTGGTAGGTCAGGATCATCACTTACAGCCTGATGAACCTGTAAAGTATTACAAGTATTTAATTTTTGTAAACTTCAGCGAGTCAATGAAAATGTGTGTTAATTACTACCTATTCAGAATCAGAAATATTTATTTGTTAAACATAGGTATTACATGAGGATCTTATCAATAAACGCAGTGCGCTATGTTTTGCCGTGAAGGCGTACACATGTTAAAAGGAGAGATACTTATACTACAAAACAAAAAATTAAAAAGTTATGAAAAAAACTGAAGAATTATTAGAAACAATTTATACAAGAAAAGAACACAATCAAGTTAAAAAATATTCTATATACACTACCGCTCAAAAGTATTTGGCCACCCTGTAAAATACATTTTGTGAAAGATTGAATAAATGAAACTGCTTTATAATATTTTAAACTATTTATTAACACTATTTTAAATATTAAACATAACACATTTCCTAAATTTTAGACTCATCTATATGTCCACCTTTGTTTTTAATTACGGCTTCACAAAGCTTTGGCATCCTTGCAATTAATTTCTCCAGTGTCGTCTTAGTTATCTTCTGCCATTCTTCTTGTAACTTTCTCCATAAGTCTTCCTGAGATGTAGGACAACATTTTCGCACTTGTCTATCTAACTGATCCCACAATAATTCGATAGGGTTGAGGTCTGGGGACTGCGGAGGCCATGTCATGAGTTTCAAGACATTTTGTTGTTCTTTTCCTTTTAAAAAGTCCTTGCAGAGTTTCGACGTGTGTTTAGGATCATTATCCTGCTGAAATACAAATCCCGAACCAATTAAACGTGTTCCTGACGGTACTCCACTATTCTCTAATATGCTTTTGTAACCTTCTTTTTTTAAGATTCCCTGTATCCTTACAAGATCTCCAACGGCGGAGCCACCAAAACAGCCCCAAACCATCACAGACCCTCCGCCGTGCTTAACAGAAGCCACAGTACAAGCGTCCATCACCCTTTCATTAGACTGCCGGCGTACGAAAACTCTTCGCTTAGATCCAAAAATTTCAAATTTTGATTCATCCGTCCAGAGAACCTTTTCCCAATCTTCTGTTGTCCAATTCTTGTGTTCCTTAGCCCAATGTAGTCTCTTCTTTTTATTAACAGCTTTAAGAAGTGGTTTTGAGACCGCTACGCATCCTTTAAGTTGACGCATCAAGGAGTCGTCTTTTGATTGTAGACACACTCACTGGTTTATCACGCCCTATGTTGAATTGTGCTGCTATTTCTGGTGCGGTTAATCGTCTATTTCGTTTACTTTTGACAACAATATTCAAATCTTCACTCGAAGTGGTGGCTCTTGGTCTACCTGGACGAAGACTGTTGCAAATTGTTCCGTCAGACGCAAATTTCTTGACAATGTAGTCCACAGTTTGCCTTGGTATCTTCTGCAATCTTGATATCTCACGATTACTTTTACCGGATTTATGAAGACCGATTATATTGCCTTTGGTCTCCTGAGAATGTTCCTTCGTTTTACCCATTTTCACCAAAAAAACAAAACTTAACGCGCGAGTGACAAAAAAATGTTACTAGACTTCAATTCTTGAGTTGGAGAGCCTGATTTCTGGTCCAATGACATCAAATAACTAAGGTTATTCAATCTCTAGTATTTATTCCACGTTACCGACTTATTTATTTCTTAAAAATGTAATTAAAAAGAAAGTGCCACTTAAAATAAATTTTGAAAAAAATTCCGGCAATAACACTATCTTGATATTACGACCAGGAATTCGCCAATAACAATAAGCTGTTTACCTTATTTGAATGTAGATAAGTATTTTACGATGAAATACAAACATTAGAACATAATAAAATTGTTTTTAATGAAATATAGTTGGTGATAATATCAAAAGTGCAAGTGGCCAAATACTTTTGAGCGGTAGTGTAACTAATAAATATTAAATTTCACTATCATATATTATGTATGATGTGCAATTATGTATTTTGTATTGTATTATAATTTTACATACCTTGGCAATAGTTGGTGGGTCCTTCTCATAAAAGAATTAGTGAACTTTACGTCGTATCGCCGAAAAGTCAAAATCATCAATTTTATCTTTGAATATCAGTTTAGGTCCGGATTTTTTCTGATTTGTTAACTGAACGTTCTCCTTTTGTTCTTTCAGTATCCGATACACAGATCTAGTCGAAATTCCCAATATTTCAGATACTGTCTTCACACACTCATCTTTCTTTGTAACTTCGAAAGATTTTGCTGTATTTTGATTCCATACATAATTATATGCATTGAGAATCATTTGTTTCTCACTCACAACAAATGATCGACGCTTTCTTTTTGGAGGGAGACATCCATCTTTAGAGGTGGACGGTTGGGCATCCATCTCAATCACCAACGTAACAAAAAACTCAACAAACAAATAACAAGTAAGAAATAAACAAGAAACTGCAGAGGACACTAAACACTTCTGACACCGTCGGAATTCGGGAGCAGAATGAAAAACAAAATGGCGTCCATGGCGTCATAAGTGATAGTCCTGCCAATAACAAAAAAAAAATAAATAAATATAACAACAGTATTTTATGTAATATATTATTACATGTCTTCAGTTTAATTTCCGTAAATTACATACATATTTATAATGTATGTACAAATAAATAAATGAATGTAATGTAGACTAACTTTTATTTCTCGATTTAAAAATCTCGATTTTCCACATCACTATTTATTTGAGACCCTATTTTTTTAAAACCGTGCAACACTGAAAATATCATTTTACTGACTCGAATTAAAAATCAGACTATAGTTCTATTGATTATATTAAGCCTTTTTTCATTGACACTAAAAACTGCAATGAACATTTTCTTACACACAGGTTTAATTTTATTTTTCTTACAAAATAAGTTGTAACTGCAGCTTACAGTTCTCTTTCTCATATTCTTTGATGGTTTGGTTTTATCCCGTGGTTCATACGAATGTAATAATCTACAAATCTTTGTATATAAATTGATCAGGATATCTATCTAGGTGTCCTGATCAATTTTGGACGTGTTAGCATAAAACGCACTACGGTTTATTAGAACTTGGCGCGTAGTGAAAGAACTACATTTATATTTACTGCCCTCTTTGTGCCGACATGGAATCCTGAATTCTAAACCCAAAGGATCCTTATCAATGTACCTGAAGCAATAATAAATTTAATTGTTAAGAAATAGTTATCTAGTAGGATTAAATTACAATTGAAACGAGAGCCGTTTATACATTGCTGAAAACTACTTACGATTTTCTTGTTCGGCTGTTTTGTCCTGATTTCGTTTTTCTGGTGCCTGAATTTAACTCCTCCACGGTCTTATCTGCCATTATGCACCGTTATTTACTCAGAATTATTCGGATTAGCAACAAAAACA